TTTGAACAGTTGGCGTAAATCCTCCTCTGCCTCTCGTCAAACCCCTATCCCATAATTCCTCTATCGCCCCTCTGCATCCCCAGCCCTCTACGCATCCCCCCCCCCCCCCCCCCTCTTCGTCTTCACATCCCTCTGTGCCCATTTTGATGCCAGCTCACAGGGAATGTGCCAGTTACAAAATCTGGGGCTGATACATACACTCCACACATCAACACAGCTGCACAATACAATGCATCATGGGAACTGGAGTATCCTACAAACTAGGCCATTATGGGGGAAAACAGGATATGAAGTGACAACAAGTCTACAGGTGGAAAAGGATGCTAGATAATCTAATTCTGATAGTCCTTTCCTCATGGACAGCCCTCCTCCATCCCCCCCCCCCCCCCCCCCCCCAAACAGCATTCAAGTGTTCTTAAGGCGACCACTTCAGGTCGTTTTCTGTCTGACCAACAAAGACTGAATTGTAAACAGCTTACAAAAGAGCATCAGTAAATGTGACTGATAAAGAAATGGACATAACTGTTTTTACATTTAGCTAAATATAAAAACTCACAAAGCCATGACAACTTGGAAAATAGATAGAATGATCATCATAACTTCTAATGTTCTTGTATAATCTAACCAGACTCTGACAATTCAGATGTATTGAACTCAACTACCTTAACCTACGGAAGAGGATGAGGGCCACATGTAAAAAATGAAAGATTAATGTCGAAATTCTGAGATTAAGGTCATAATTGTGAATCTTAGAATTGTGAGTAAAAAGTCTGAATTATTTTGTCAGAACTCTTGAGATTAACGATCATAATAACTACTGATGTTCTTGTGTACTCTAAAAAGGTCTGAATTCTGAGCATTTTTTTACGAAAAAACGGAATTCTGAGATTTTTCTGACAAAAAATAATTCTTCTCAGAATTCTGACTTTGATTTAAAAACTGTTCACATGTGGCCCTAATCCTAGTGATTTAATGTAAGCATGTAAACTTATTTGAGCATCACTGTTAACAATGATAATTGTTAAACAAACAAGTTGTTGTTTTTTTATGTGAAGATATATTTTATAACACAAGAATGCACACAGATAGGAGGATAGGACTGTTTAAGGCAAGCCTGAGCCAGCCCTTATTATAAGCTTTATCAAATATGTAGGGTGACTGTGAACCATGGCAGCGCAGGGTTCTAAGGGGGTTCTAAGATCTCTTCTAAGTGCGTGGCTGTCTCTCTTCATAATCATTATTTGAGAAAGTAATCAAATGTATGTCATGCATTATTCTCTGTTGAACACCTTTCTTTGGCCAATGTCATGGAGACTGGTTCATTTGCATGCCCTGTCTGCAGCTCCTGTCTCCAGATCCCCTCACGCTCCGGACCTGTCTACAGATCCCCTCGCCCTCTCATGCCCTCCCACCTCACACCTGTTCTCCCTTTCCTCGTCAGCTCTGATTTTCTGACCCTCCTGCTCTCAGCTGCATCCACTTTCCCTCATCAGCCTGCAGACTATGACTATAAACTGTATCTGTTGTCTGTTAGACTCAAAATGTGCTACCTACAACACAGTGTTCAAAACTAAATCCAGGGTGTAGTCTCTTAACGTCACAAAATACCAATACAAATGGTTTTTGTCCTGTTTTATTTTCTATTTGAAGTTAATATTTTACGTTTCCTTATTGTCTACTCTTTTTCATGTTGACATAATGTGCAATGCCTTGTTCTAACATGCTCCTGTGACGAAAAGAATGTCCCTAATTGGGATCAATAAAGCAAATCTTGTGTTTTCTAATGGACAAATGGCTGCAATCCAGGACTTGCGCACACACGCACACGCACACACACACACACACACACGCAAGATAGAGTTAGAACATGAAGCTGCTGGTAATGAATCTGCTAGCCTGCAGACAGATGACAGGGATCTAGATCTCATCTGTAGGGGTCTTTACCATGCTTTCCTGCTCACTCTACAGTAAGAAGCTGAACCTCTGGAGTTAAGAGGGAAATCTAACTACAGTACGATGGGGAAGGCTGCTGTATGACAACAACAATGCATTTTTTATATGATCCGGATTTTGATGGATGTCCCAGATTATCTCAAATAAAACTAATTCAAAAACATGACAGGAGAAGTATCCAGAGCTGACCCCACCTGTTGCACCACCCCAGGAGCAGATGCATAAAAGAGTCAGACTAAAGCAATATGTACGAACAAAGACAGAGTTAAAAATCACTACGCCTCATTGTTTAATGCATCTTTTTAAAACGTCCAAACACGATTCCTTCCCTTAGCTCTGAGGACACTCCAACAAACATTCAAAGCGTAAAATATAGTTTTTATTATTATTATTAGATTATAAAACAGCGGTTTTACTTCCACAGGTCTGTACCAGGTCCACAGCTAGTCCGCAGAAGCCACCATTTTTATTGAATTAAATACACAACTACCTTCTCATTAACAATGATAAAAACAGTATTGGAATTCGTATTGGAACAGCATTCCCTTTGAATGTAGCATTAATTGGACAGAGTGCAGTGATGGGACTCACTTCTTGTAACCACATCTAAAAAGATGACATGTCTCCTCTAAATGACAACCCTGCACAGCACTTCATCACGTTTCCTCCAGTAAAAGGACATCATAGAGGGTCCCATGGCTCTTTTTTTAAATAATTATTTTAAATAGGAGCATCAAGGGCCGCATCTGTGGTGGTTTGGAAAGTGCCGCACTGTGTTCTTTCTGAGCTACATGCTATGTTCATGGGAGAAAACGAAAGGAATAAAACAGGGAGAAACGCTGACCCTGCTTTAGAGCCAGATTATCAAACCTCAAAGCACATATAATTACATTTTTCCATAAAGAATTCAAATTGTGGCACCACTAGCAGCCAAACGGGACCACAGAGGATTCATCACGCAGAGGAGAAGAAGACAGAAGCCAACAGCATCGAGAGCTTCTCCCAAATGGAAACAAAAACAACTATTAATGCAGTCTGTATGGCTGGCAAACATTTCATTGCATTTGTCCTAAATTAAAATGGATCATATCTCACAGACCGCAGGGATGCTTCTTCTTTTTTCTCTAAACCAAACTTTGTTGACCAACATCACAGCGCCCTCTAGTGGAGGCAGCACTACAGGATGTGGAGCAAGACTGCACATGTTGTAGATTAAATCAACTCTAGCCATAAACAAGCTGATTTAGTCACACACTCTATTCTCTATATCCAGAGTGACAGGGAGGCAAAGCGGGGAAACACCCCACCCCCCCCCCATCATCTGAGCAGTACTCCATCAGAGATGTCAGGAGTAATAAGCATCATTTAGAAACCAGCTTTAAGTACGAGACAAACAACACTGAAGTATTACTTTTTAACATCTCCACAAATCAACATGTCGCTTACTCTAAATCAAAGCAAGTTGTATCATTTATTTCAACAGGACGTTTCAGTTTTTTCTAGTTTAAAAAAAATGGAGAAAACTAGATTCTTGGTGAGATTAATATTAGGATAATGATAAAGTAACCCCGAGATATTGAGTAAGCTACTTAGTTTAACCACAAAACATGTACACGTATGTTTTTTTGCATCGATAAATAGACACACAGATAATCACACATATTTACACAAACACGTAATTCCACCACACACACACAAAATGAGTGCTTCACACCACGGGGATCTGTCCTTGGTAGGAGCTGAGATGTAAATAGGATGGAATTAGGAGACATGAGAGGGAGCGAGGAGAGGAGGAGAGAGGAGCTGCTGATGGAGGGGAGGAGACGGGGGAGGAATCGGAGAATATCCAGACGAGGGGGAATTTCACATCAACCCCCCGATGTTTTATCTCCAACTCAGCGCTGTCAATCATTCTATGGTACGGAGTCTCTTGTAATTATTTTTCCTTTAGTAACCAAAAGACTCATTAACTCATTACCCAGAGTGTGTGGCAGCGTGCAACACACACACACACACACACACACACACACACACACACACACACACACACACACACACACACACACACACACACACACACACACACACACACACACACACACACACACACACACACACACACACACACACACACACACATGATGAAGAGTTTTAATTAAATACTGCTTGCAACATGTGAAGTCCACACAGCAGCCAATCAAATCGCTGCTGCTCACACATCTGGAAAACATGTCCATCTACTGCTCTTTTTGAATTCACACGTAGGATCTTTTTTGTTGCATAATCAATTAAGCCAATTATGTCTTCTCTTTCCAGCCTTTTATATTTCAGAAAAACATGGAAAGAGGAGGGAAGATGAGAGGAGGAGTTTATTCATTTCTGAAAACCTCATTCTGTGTTTGTTATCTCCACCTTCTCCACCTCCTCTCTTCCTGCGCTCCTTCCTCCTCATCCTCATCGCGAGGAAGCGCAAACAATAGCATCTCCTTCATTCACTTAGTGTGTATGAGTGATCATGTGAAAATCAAATCACGGCAGTCACCCGCAAGGGCGTTTCATTGATCAGTTATTAGTAGGGAAATACAAAATATATTCTTGGACAACATGCCGTTATTATAAACTACAACAACAAAAAAATCCATACACACAAATAAAAAACCATCCATACACACCTTCAGTTATTATCAGTGAAAGTGGAAATGTTGACCATGTTCTTTTAAAACAACATGAGTATTAACCAGTATTCGCAGAACGTGTGTGTTATCAATATGTATTCAATTACATAAAATATATAGAAAAGGGTTATATATATATATACAGTATAAACAATTTCAGATTCTGAATTTACTCATACATATATTTTTCTGAGGCACTGGCAGATAACATTATAAAATGAAATAATTAAGAATGAAATAATTGGCTTGTTGTGCACACACTAGTAGTGAGTGGGATCGAGATGCCACATTCAAATCAATATGAGTGTGGCTGTTAAACTCACATATAATTCACTATGTTATTTAAACATGGGTCAGAGAGCTGTCACTCACCATTGTAGTTCCAGAGGTGCTGCAGCCCCCCCACTCCGGTGCTGTCGTTACTCATGGTGCATGCTCCTGGTCCTCTCCACTTTCTTCTCCAAGTTTGTCCTGACGTGTGTATCCTTTATCTCTGACTGCTGCCCCCCACTCTCCTCGGGTTCTCTGTCTGCTGTTATATCGACCACTTTAAGGGTCTCCTCTCTGCTGTGGGTCTCAGGGAAGAAAACACATGCATCTCTCTGAACAACCCCAGCCACTTCCACTTCTCAATAACTGTTGGTGCTCCCGAAAATGAAAAACGTGTCCGCTCTGGTGCGCGCACCAGAGAGAGAGAGAGAGAGGGGGGAGAGAGAGAGAGAGCGAGAGAGAGAGAGAGAGATTTGTGATGTCATCTTCTTCAGCCAATCCTCAGAGTCTCAGCGTGTCTTCAGTGTTCTGGTATTCCTGCTTATTATGTCATCACTAATATGACTTTCCCCTCAGAGCAGTGACCATTTATCTTCATTTGTCTAGTCGTACAGAAAATATGTACTGCCTTCAATATTTACTGCACATATTTTATTCCAATTGTATTTCTACGATTTCAATTCTATTCAATGCAAATACTGCTATATTTTTTTAACGTTATTATAGTTTTCTTCAAATAGTTTTCTATCTGTGTTTTACATTTGTGTTTTATTTGATGTATACCAAGTCAAATCCCTAGTACGTGTTAACCTACCTGGTGATAGACCTGGTTCTGGTTCTGATTCAGTGGCATTAGTATTTATTGTTTATTTAACAAACAGTTATTTGTTATAATCACTCAAAGTCATGCAGGCATTTCTAAAGTTTTGTTGTATTATTTGTCAGCCATTATGTTCTGAATATGTAAAGCTTTGGGGATAATCAAACTAATTATTAAACATTTCTAAAATTCGATGTTATCTTTATGTAACCTGGGTTCCTCTCTTCATTCAGTGGGGGGTGTAACTCATACGGTGTCATCTTTTTAATCATAACATATACACATATTTTCAACCCTGTATTAAAGCTGGTATTACTGTAACAGAGGTGGGAAGTAACTAAGTACACCTAAGCTACCCTGTAGTATACAAAGTCATTCAAACTAGCTGCACCTTTACCAGCTTTGAGAACACTTTCATGATCAATCATTATAAAACACATCATATATATTATTCTGAAATGGACCAATCTGCACAATGACTACTTTTACTGTCGCTACTTTCACTATATTTTGATGAGAATACTTTTCTACTTTTACTTGAGGAACATTTTGAATGCAGGACTTCTAACAGAGTATTCCTACACTCTGGTACTTCTACTTATGTATACAATCTGAGTACTTGTCACACCTCTGTACTTTAAAGATAATCTGATTGTGAACATCACAACTATACGTGCTACTGTTTCTTATGAATATGTATACAATTATACCTGTTGTTTACAAAAAACAAGTAAGGCATACAAAACTGGATGTTTAATTTATTCATTTTTCTAGGCATCAAATGAGCAAGTGGCAAACTAGCCATGCTTAATGAAAGTGAAAGTGGAGGGGTTATCTCCCCAGGAGAACATTTATTTGTCATCATGTTGATCACTGTCCTATCCTGAGTTAAAACACAGGGAGAAATGACAAAGTTGTAAATAAATGCAAACATAGATTAAAATGGATGTATGGTGGCCTACTGTTATACAGTCATTTGAACATTGTGTTAGACATCTTTACTGTTAATCCAGATGTTGAATAAATATCTTAAGTAATATAGAGTGAATAAATCTCCTTTGCTGTTTCTTTACTTGGCAACATAACCTCCCTGTAGTAACCGGTGTGAGTTTAGATTAGAGGAAGGGTCTTCCACTAACAGGAACACACATACGAAGCGAATGCAGAGCAGAGTTTGAAGCGTTGTCAGCGCTGAACAGACAGCTCTGCCTGCGTGCGATCAGGCGGAACGGAGGAAGCCTCAGACTACACACTGACGCACACAAAGAGCTAGGAGAGGAAGAGAGGAGTCTACTGAGGGCCTACCTTGTCAACCAGCTGTGCGATGAACAACCCTGGACTGGACTGACAGCTCTGGGGGGAGGTGGCAGGTGTAATGCTTGTCAGTTTATCTATCAGCGGGTGAGAAATGCAAAAAAAGCAAACTGCAAAAACTCTCAGAGCCTGTCAAAATATGCTGATATATGAACTAGTCCCTGCTTTTCAATATTCTTCACATGGAGCTTAGTCGCAGCCCCCCACCCCTGTTTCCTGACAGGACACGTTTAGCACTGTGAACACACATCACTTCACCAGGAGTGTGTTCTTCACAAAAACACATACAAAACTACAGTACACTGATATGTCTTTGTTAAAGTCATGGTATTATTATTATGTGAAATAAGAAGGCTATTTAAGATAAGCAAAATGAGTCCCTATTAAACTATAATTCAACTCCTTGGACTTATTTCACCCCACACTGAAACAAATGTATGTTGACTTTAATGAAATGTATGATGTCAACAGATTTCCCATAATTGCATTGGGTTATTAAAAGCAATAATATGAAGTTGAACCTATTTAAACTTCATATTTCCCAACTCAGTGATGGGAAATCTGTTGGCATAATACATTTAATTAAAGTCAACGTTTTTTCAGTGCATAAACAGCCATAGTCCCATGCTTATTATAATATCTGAACTGTGCAGCTTTACTTCCATGAACATAACGTTCGCAATTAAGTAACTGTGAAATTAAAAGTGTTTTTTTTTTCTGTTCAGATCAACTGTAACACAACCCAATTTTCCAGGCAGCTGTGGCTCAGACGGGGGGGGGGGGGATTGGAGTCAAGACAATGGAAACCACTCCAAATTGTTCTCTACATGTACGGCAGGCACTCCATTCCAGTGTCTGATGAATAAGAAACAGAGAAGAGTTGTCAGAAGTTTATAGAATAAAATAAAAAAACATTCATTTTACTCAAACACATACCTATACATAGCAAAACTGATAATGCTGCAGTGATCTCTTCCAGAGCTGTATATATATATATAAACAGTATTTATATATAAAAATGTGCGCTTAAGTGTTAGCAGGAGTGATATTGTGTGTGTTTGAGTCAACAACCTTACATAAGAACTGCTCTACTCGCCTCACCTCTGACAAACACAGCATGTGTCATTATGGATTGAAGTGGGCTGATTTTGGCTCAGCCATTATCTTCTTACACAACCCACTACAGTGAAGAGAGTCTCGGTACGAGCGTGTGTGTGTGTGTGTGTGTGTGTGTGTGTGTGTGTGTGTGTGTGTGTGTGTGTGTGTGTGTGTGTGTGTGTGTGTGTCCATTACTCATGTGCTTATGTGCCATTTCTAGTCATTTCTAACATGATCTATAATAAAGCAGTGTTCTCTGCCCTCTGTCAGCAGCTGTGTTGAGCTTCATTGTCATGCAGTCAGTCTGTACACGGCAGACACACCTCTGTATATTGGATTCTGGTACTTCCTTTATTAACTATTAATACTTTTTATAGAAAATTCATTCAATAGCTTCTCTGTCATGTGACCTAATTACTTTAAATCACTCTCAGAAATGAATGCTAGTCTGTACACGGCAGACACACCTCTGTATATTGGATTTTCCTTTATTTAATATTAATATTTGTATTGAAAATCATTATGTTATTTTTATGTAAGTTATTTTTTTTTTCAATAGCTTCTCTGTCATGTGACCTAATAACTTCAAATCAAATTAAATAATTAATGCTAGCCTGAACACAGCAGACACACCTCTTTATATTGGATTTTGGATACTTCCTTTATTTAATATGAATATATTTTGTTCATATTGCAGTGCCAGTGTGTGTCCAGCAGGTGTCAGTGCAGCTCCACGCACAGTGATGCTGGCGGCAACACGTGTCTTATTTAATATTCGTATTTTTATTGAAAAGTCTTCCCTGTCATGTGGCCTAATTTCAAATCACCGTCTCCCCCAGAAGAAGGCTGAGGCAGGATTTATGTTGACCTTCTGTTTTAAAAGGTTTTGTGTAAATAAAGACTCCCTTTCTTTAAGCATCAGTGTTCTTGTTGCCTCACTGCTCGGTCCCTGACACAACTTGTTGCTTACATTTTGGTGCTTTCAACTGTTTCATGAGTTACAGTTATACATTTTAGATGGATGTATGATACTTTATTATTATTGATTATCAAACTTAGCTCGGTTTGAGTCCATAACTGAAGATAATTGTGGGTAACAAAGCTTGATCCCAGCTCCTGAAGTCAACATGAAGATGTGTTCTAATGACTCAGTTAAGTTGCGTCTGATGACCAACAGTGTGTGAGTGTGTGTGTGTGTGTCTCCCTGAGCAGGTGCACCTTGCAGCCCCTGCCTCTGTATGACTGGGTGAATGCTGACTTGTACATTCAAAGAGCTTTAAGACAGGAAAAGCACTTTGTAAATGGCTGCGTTTCTCATTTACACTAAGCTACTTAGCTGCAGTGTGGAGGGGCTTGATCACTGACGGTGTAACATGGTGTCAGGGGGGGTTGCATTTGTGTTGATGTCACCCACCTCTAAAAGTAAACAGTTAGCTGTGAGAGGTTCAGGGGTCCTTCGTCAGAATAGGACACAGAGTCTGCTGATGTGACTTCGTCCAGATGTGTTGCAGCTCTCTTTGGTCTCATATGGAGGGCTGATGTCCCAGGCAAAGGGGGGGGTGGATTCTCGGCTGGGGTCCGGGGGGGTGTCTCTTCCCACAGTGTCAGTTCTCACGTCAGGCTCTTTGACTGACTCTGAATAAAAAAGGATTTGTTTTTTAAGTTTCACGATTGAATAAACTCATACTTGGAGTTCTCTCATCTCACTACTCCTCCATGTCAGACATCCATAGAGTTTCATTCACTTTCACCACTGGGCCATATAGAGCCAATTATGTTCTTTCATTTCTCCTATCAACAAAGTACTTTATATCCAGGACCTTTGCACAATGTATTTAGTTATTTTACTGCATGAATTTACTGCATTACCATTTTCTCAGTTAAGAAGAATGAATACCACACAGGCTACTGGGGCTTTTATTGCACATGTATATCAACTTTTTTTGCACATGTATATTGTAACTAAGTACATTTACTGAAGTACTGTACTTAAGTAAGGCATTGAGGTACTTGTACTTAACTTGAGTATTTTCACATTAAGCTACTTTACAACTCTTTACTCCGCTACATTTATTTTACACATTTAATTACTTACAATACAACATAAAAATCAACACACATTATTATATATTATGATAGGTTAATTTACCTAGT